TGGATTCCTATAGACCACCACCATCGTCTGTCTCGTCGTTTTATGTACAGTCGAATTCTTTTTTGAGTATTATAATAAAAAGTTATTATTACTACATAACTGTAATTTTTTCTTACTACCATACTATAATTAAATAGACACTAGAGAAAAAAAAATCAAAATTGAACATAATACGTAGACTGCATCAACAAGTGTTCTGATGTCCCGATAAACCGCTTAAATAAAAAATCTAAAAAATACATTATGAGAAAATGGCTATTTTCAAAATTTTGTGAAGTGAATAAATAAAGTTATTTTTTTTTTTAGTGTTAAGGTGATGTATGAAAATATAATTTTTCTCTAAATATAGTTTTCCTCAAACAAAGTCAGATTGAATAAAAATAAAATGAATATTAACAGCTATAGAAAATTCGTCAAACATGGTGGGACACCCTGATAGTATATGATGTTTTTGCGATAAAATTAGTAAAATTAATATTAGAAATAATATTTTGAAGTATTATAATAAACAAACACGAAAATCGGGCTTCGTCAGTTTTTTCGAATTTAATAGTTTTATAGAAATGGATTGCGAAAAACATCACTCTGTACATTGAATCTGAGCCTGGGAAAAGTAAATATCTACGGACAAGTACTCTGAGAAACTCCAATAAAAGTTAATTGTTGGGCTGTACTCTTAAAATTATATATAGTTTAGATAGGATAGGTACTTGTCGAAAACTGCACTATATTAGTGAAGGTCATTTCGTGATCATGCGTTTTTTTTTTTTTTGACGAGCAGGTATTAATATTAATATTTTATCGTATCTCGACTTAAATATTGATTCACTGCACGGCATATATTATTATGTGAACCCAGTACCGTGCAAAAGAATTTCCGATGGGAGGGAATATAGTATGAATACTTAATAACAATCATACAATTATTCATTGTGTAACGTAAATCGTGAAATCTTTGTTACTTATAACCACAGTTATATACCATGCCTATTTAATAAAACAATGAAAAACTTGGATTCAAAATTGATGGAAGGCCCAGGAAGGGTCATGGCTCTCGGACCACCAGTCTCCCAGGGCCTCAACTTTTACAACATTATGTTCTTTATGTATGCATTTAAACATTAATTTTGTACTTTGATATTTTTTCGTTGCCTGATGATGACTTAATCATATTTTTATATAGTAGAAACTTTGGTAAAAATAATAGATTTATTATTATTAATAATACTTGTGGTTTTTAAATTGAGATTCATCTACAATATGCTGTCTATACTATTTATTATTTTTCTTTTAGATTCTAAGTGGAGTGAGGAATGTATTTTACAATGATATTTATTTTTTTTCTGTGAACAACTTTCTACCAGAAATCTTCCTCTGATTATTAAGTGTACCTAATACTTTTCTTTAAAGTAAATTTTTGGTATTTTTTTTGATTTTCAATGGTGTTTCAATATAATTGGGAAAAAACGTAAGAAAAACGGGAAAATTTAAAAATTAATACATTTTTTTCAATTTTGTTTTTTTTTATGATGATTTAGTTAAAAATATTCGTTAAGATCTGAAATTTGGATAGAATACTTATATTTATCTTTTCTAGACATGGGAACGTTAATTTTGTGAGTTTTGTATGTTACTTTTATTCGGTAGGTACTCTGTGGATAAAATTGTTTGACCAAACATAAATGCTTGGCAATTTAGCAAGAGGTTTATTATAAGTTGTTTTTTGTAGTAAAAAAAAAAATAAATAAATATTGAGTGTAAAGTAGAATTATTTTTTTTCATAAGAATTTTAAAGAAATTTGTCAACGCCACGTACGACCTTTCAAAACATATTTAGTCGAACCCCGCTCAGAATCGTTTTTAACTAGCAATGTTTAATCGTTGAGTACATTAAATTCTTTTCTATACATCTTTTACTTACAACTTCTCAACAGTGACCAGCCCATTGTGCGGAGTATGTCAGTCTTTTTTCTGTTTTAATTAAAACACATTAATTAATAAACATTTTTAAAAAAATTACATTATTAGTCAACGAGGTTTTTGTTCAAAAATTTAGCCCCGAGGCCTCTAAATGTCCGAACTTGTATATCTATCCCGAGTAGAAAAAATGGTGTCTAATTCGGACATCGGTCCAACAATAAAATAATTTGTGTACTAGGGTTACTATGTACAATCTGGATTTGATTTGGAATAGGATTAAGATAAAATAAGTTGTATTGCTTGTGCGACAGGGGTTGGGAAACTAGCGTGTAAAGGATGCATTTTTAAAAAAATTACAGAACCATAATTTTCAAAGAGACGCATAATGGTTTAGATGAAAAATACATACCATAATACAAAAAACTACTAATATATTTTACCAAGCAATTTCATTAGGAATTGGTATGCATTAAAAACATAATAATACGTCTTAAATTAATAAATAATATATTGATTTCATATATACATTATTATTTGGTAAGCACTAATAAATTATTGTTACTATTATTATTGTTTATACAAATTGAATTTTAATTTATATTTTATGGGTCTGTACCTAGATCATCTGGATATTGATGCATTTTTCAAAGAGCCACAGATTGCATCATAAGGAGCGGGAGCCGCAGGTTCTCGACCTTTGCTATATAGTATGTTAGTTATTGAATATGTTACTATACCCAAGCCCAGGTACTGCATTTAATTATACTTACTTTACGGAAATAAATAAATGCACTATTTTATATTTATTAAAACTTCCTAGTTCCTACCGGGCAATAACTTAAAACGTACAGACAATAAAAATATTATGTTCAATAATTTTACAAATGCCTATAACCATATACCTACTTGTAGCTTGTAGCCTGTAGGTATTCACGTAATTCTACAAAACTGCATTTTATGTGGCATTGTCGCATTTTTAAATGACCGGTTTTTAACTTACCAATATCCGATTTTGATTCGCGGAGTTTATCTAAAATATTATAACGATTCAAATATGACTAATATGCGATTAATTTCCTAGCGAAATGTTGAGATTTATTTCTAAACGTATAATCGTTGGTTATTAGTGTAGTCACGTACGTATATAAAAGTATATCCGAACGATTATAAGAAAAAAAAAAAGAAAACTATTCTGGTACACATTTTTTTTTTCAATATAATGGACGACATTAAAATAGATAATATTACGGAAAAATATTAAAATTGAATGTAAAAGAAATACTGAATAGTTAATACATCATATTAATATGATTTATTACACATTGATCGTTCCACTCGTAGGTAGGTATAATTACTCGACTGTAATTATTATTCGATTAATATGATGGATAATTGTCGACCGCCATACGTACCTAATTTGTACAATATTTTAGACCGTGCTAATATCGAATGATGTCCTAACTTATTCGACAATGCAAATATATTAACATAATAAGTAAGTACTATAAGTAAGGATATGACTTTGGTAGGCACATAATTAAGCATTACTGTCAACATTGTTTCTTATGTAATAGATACGCGAGCCCACAATAACGGAAAACAATTTAATATTCTCGTACACATGGTGGTATAAATCGAATTAGGTGTATTTTTAAATTCACGAATATCTATTATTGTTACACTATTATAATTATTATAGGTTTTTCAAGTTTATTACAGACATTTTTGACATTTCCTTACACAATATTTTGCGAACCATTAGTATTTTGTTATAAATACATTTTTCAGATAAATTAAATATTATACGTTAATAAATTTCAGGGGCAGAACCAGGGCAAGATAACAGGAGGAATATTTTGAAAATGCATATAGGCAGGGCACACGTCCGTGGTGAATAGCTAGCTACGAGAACATTATGAAGCAAACGGGGAGGGGGGACGATCGCCTCCATCACCATCCCCCTCTCCGTCCACCACTTATAAACATTTCTCATTGAATCTTTTGTTTCTGAGTGTAGCAGCAAAATATTGCACATTTCTTGGTGTTTTTCGCTAAACCTGATTTTAAATGTATAATTTATTTTCGTATGAAAGGCATTCAAAATCCCGGTAGTTAAAATCTTAATAAGGTCAACATATCGACATTGTTAAAATCCCGACAGATTATATCAGTGAATTAATTTCAAACCTTTGTACCTGTACACATGGGTATGCACTTTCACATTATATTGAATCTGATCAGACATTCAGACTCAATATAATGTGAAAGTTTTATCAAATACCTACTTTGTATGAGAATAAGGGACAATAATTAACGACATTTATTTAGCGACATTATTATCAGCTAGACCTCGTCGGGATTTTAATCACCGGGATTTCGAACCTGTGGGGATTTTGAGCAGGACGCCCTTTTTTATGCGTATTGATTTTGATTCGGACAGTTTGAGCGGTATCTAATTGTCATTTTTAAAAATGTCAGATTGTGCGAGCGAGAGATGTCCACGAGGGAAATCGTTTTCATATTATAATAATAATGTAATTACAATCAATGCAATTAATTAGTTTATTTTTAAATACATCTTGGTTTTATTATGATAAAATAATTGATTGTAAGACAAATATTTTGATAAATATCGTCGCGATTCGCAAAATGCACCGTATCCAATACAGCAATAATTATTATGCTTACAACCGCGTTTAAATATTTTAATGATTGAGCACGGAATTGAATGAAAAATTCTTGCAATAGGTGCCCATGTCTTATATAATTTATAATATTGCGAATAATAAAAAAAAACACTTGGGTGTGAAGTCTAGCATGGAATTCGTATTTTAAACAATAAAACCAGTTTGCCGCTATGTTGGTTATTGACCGGTCACTGCGTTGGGGCGTGAACTTTGGCGCGAAAAACAACAAAGGTTTTGAAAATAAAATCAAGTGTTTCCCGCGGTTTTTAACGATTACACGACACACCGAAGGGGGTCATGCCAATAGAACATGACAAATGATAATACGACGTAGCGGTGTGATAACGAACCGGCGGTTTTGATAGGACAATATTCGAGTTCGACAACCGTTTTGGCGGTTAAACGCGCGCACCATGAAGTCGTTGTGTAGCCTTACGCGCCATTTGCCGTCATTACTCCGTTGTTCTTCGCACTATCTGCTCTTGTTTGATCTTGGACCAGTTCCGTTGCCGTTACATTCACCTTTATTGTTCGTCCGTAATTTTAAATCGTGTGGCCCGCGACCGATCGCCGAAGACGATACTACTGCAGAACAATACGCAAACCATTCGAAGTCCCTACGTTTATTGACCATGGCTGTTAACGAGTACAATAATGACAACTGTTGTCGGACCTCCCGACCCCATCTGCCATATACGGTGTTCATCGAGGGCAACATAGGCAGCGGGAAGACCACGTTTCTCGAACAATTTGCCGACTGTCCGAACGTGTACATGGCTAAAGAACCCGTGCACAAATGGCAAGACGTATGTGGACACAACTTTTTGGTAAATGTCCCGCAGTTCTCGGTCTCTTACGTGGCCGCCCACCGCAATTCGTAAACCTCATTTTACTTATTTTTTCCGATTTTGCGAAATAGGGTCTGATGTACCAAGACCCGAAACGTTGGAGTTTTGCGTTCCAGTCCATCGTACAGAGGACAATGTTAGAATTGCACCAGGCCCTACCCGAACACGGACAAAATATCAAAATTATGGAACGGTCAATATACAGTGCCAGGTGTATATAATTTTTTTATTCTATTCGAAAAACTTTTAACTCAGTATTTGAACTTTTGTAATATATCAACTGTTTAAACATACATTTTTTTCATGCCATGCTAAGAATAGGAATGTTTTATGATTTTGCCCTCATATGCTTAAAACATGACTATTAAATTCTAAGTAAGGATGTTGAATTTTGAATTGATATTCATTTTTTTTTTGAGAAATTGCTTAAAGATGGGTAATTGAATGTTGAATTTAGTACTTAAGTCATACAGTTTTAAAAAAAATGTAAACTAATTATAAATAATGGAAAGATATGTTTTACCCGTGTAGGGCTTCTGGATATTGATGTACTTATGTACAGTTGTTCATTTACGTGTATTTAGTTCACCATATGCTTGAAAGTGGTAGAGGTGCTCCACCGTACAAATATATTTTTTTTTGCCCTATCGAAAAATCAATCTGTCTTTATAGATTGTTATGCCTACTCACAAAAGTATCTACAGTTTTAATGTCTTAACAATAAATATTAAACACATTTAAAATAATGTTGAATATATCAATGGTGCAAGTTCAAATTTATATAAAATTTCAAGACAAAAAAACTCCAAAAGTATTTAGTTTTATTATATTTCTTAGACTGTAAGAAACGTATAGATCATATCTAAAGCATTTTTTTAGTATTGTGTAATTAGTTTTTTTTTCAAGATTTTTACTAAACAAAAGTACCATTTATTGTTTGATATCCAAAATTATATAGATTACAGTGACAAACATACCATGTTAATATTTTAACAATTAATATTGAATAACTCAAAAAATGTACATAAATTATATATTATACTCACAAAAATACTATGTAGACATTCTTACAACAAATAAAATACAAATTTAAAAAAATTGCATAATGCAGTATATTGTGCATATATATATATATATATAAATGCAATATTTAAAATTTAATTATAAATGGTTTAATGCAATAACAAGTTCATTAAAAATTTAATAGGAAATTAATTAGATAAATAGCTTTTGAAGATTAAGTGGATATAGTATTAATTTTACAAATAAAACATATACATTCAATTCATATTTAACTATCCAATTAGTGATTATAAGTTCTTCGAAAATATGTTGTAACGAATAATAAATAATATTTAATGCTATCAGTTTTTGTTATAATATTTACTATGATTATTTATTATTGTGTGCGCCTTTTCCATGTTTATTCTGTCTACCAGAAATTTTTCCCTAATCATAAATTGACTACAGCTTTTTGTAGCATTTTATGTTTTATTGATGTGTTGAGGTAAATTTTTGATTTTTTAAGTAGTTTTAATGATAATTTTGATAATAATAATAATAATAATAATAAAACTTGAGAAAATTGACAAATTTACAGCAATAAAAATTTCATGATTTTTTATTGTAATTTGATTTAAAATAATCATAGAAACTGACATTTTCAAACAATTGTAGCAATGTTTAAGTAATGTATAGGCATTTGGTGTTTCCTAGTTTTTTTTTTTTTAGCTTTTATTTCATTTTATGTGGATAAGAATGTTGTTTTAGCAGATCAAAAACACATAAATATTGTACAGTTAGTTTATTTTTAAACAGGGTTATAAATTGTGGTTAAACCAAACAAAAAGTTTGGCGTATGTGTCTTTATTTTTTTTTATAGGTGTTAAGTTACAATTTTGATAAAAATTATGAAATTTAATTAGTTTTATTATTAGCATTTTATATGTTTTTTAATAGTTAAAGTTAAATATTTTATAGTTTTAATGTTAATATATTTGACTATTTGACTGGGATATTTAAAAATTATAGTTACTTGGATTTAATTTTTAAATCAAAAGTAAATTACAGATAAAGTAAATAAGTATTTAAACTGACAATAATATTTGAGTAGTTTTTTATCGAAATTATTGATTTACTTTTACGTAGCAATAAATAATTTTTCTATCAACATCAATGATTCATGTGATGTGCTCAGTTTTCTGTTGTATTTTTTTTAGTATAATATTATATTTTGATTTAAGGGCGTTGGTCAACTTAAAATAATAAATATTACTATCTATTTGTAGACTGTTTTACTTTATGTTTTTTTTTTCATATTGTTTGTGTCTGTAAACAACTTTTCAAAAAGAATTTTTACTAGAAATATTTGTCCAATAACAAAACAACTTAAGACTTTTTGTTTGAATCTAGTTGGTGATTATGAAAGTGGTTTTTTTGATTTTCCCTGTAATTTTTTTTAATATTTGAGCAAACCGAATGAAAAAAACTTAAAAAGAATGGACAAATTACGAAAATAATAGTTTTATTTTTTTCAATGTTTTTGTAATTTAGTTAAAAACGTATGGTAGGGACTTGAAATTAGGACAGATTTATATTTGCCTTTTCTAGACTTCGTAAATTTTTCAAAACATTGAGCCATTTTTGAACGATTTATAGACATTTAAATTTTGTGAAATTTTACATAATTGTTATGTGGCAGGTACTTTGTAGATAAAATTGTTAGATTAAACAGAAATGATTTGAAAATTTAACTAGAGGTTCATTATAAGTTGTACTTAGTAGTAAAATAAAAGTAGTTTTAATATCAGCCTTTAAAACATGTATAACCAAACTTCGCTCCAAATCGTTATTTGACGTACAACTTGCTTACATATATAAATTAAATAATTATGTATCCTACCTTTCTAACTTCCCATCTATATTCTTAGTATCAGCATTTTTTTTTTTTTTAATAATAAACTATTAACATTTCAGAAATATATTTATTGAAAATTTGTACAAAGATAATCTCATGGCATCTCCTGAATATGCTGTGTTGGATGCTTGGTATAAGTGGATAATAGAAAATGTTAAAATTGAATGTGACCTCATAAGTATGAAATAACATGAATTACTGGTATTTTTATATGGGGATTATATTTCAAATTATTTTTCAGTTTACCTGAGAACAGATCCAGAAGTAGCTTTCCAAAGAATCAAAACCCGAAATCGGTTTGAAGAAAAAGATGTTACATTGGATTATATTCAACATTTACATGAATTACATGACAAGTGGTTAAATGTACACAAAACTGATGTGCCAAAGAGTGTACCCGTACGTAAATATAACACTAAAAACAATTTTTATAACAATTTGAACATTGTGATTTTTAAATTATTGAGAAAAAAATTTTCATATTTAGATATATTTAATTAATATAGTTTAGTAATTTTTAACTAATAGTTCATTGCAGCTTTACAATCATCATTTAACACAAAACATTATAACAAATTAAAACTTAAATGTTATTGGGGATTTAGTAACAAAAATGTTTATCAACTTTAAGATGGATGTAAGTTGTTTTATATTATTTAATAATATACATTCGATGATTCATAAAAAAAGTACCAATAAAATTGTGATTCATTTACCACTATTCACTATTGCGTAGTTACAAAAGTAATAGAAATTGAAAATAAATTTGACATGAACAATTAATGACATTTTATATAGTCTGGTATATTAAATTAAACTATTTAAATTTAAAATTGGTTGGTTATATTATGTTATTACTTCATTTGATGATCCAACACTTGTATATTATTCTTAAAAATGTACTATATAAATATAATAGGAATTTGTACGTGTTCAAAAACCATTATGTAGTGATTTATTTTATAAATCTTTTAAAAAATACTTAAATCATATGTTATATCATTTAATCATTATAATTATATTAAAAATTAAATTTTATGTTCGGTTTAGGTGGTGATCGTTGACGCTAACCAAAGTATGGAACAAGTGAAAAAACAATTTAAGGGCGTAAGAGAACTAATCAATAAAAATGCCACAGCTCTCATTGAACCAAAAACAACTCATAAAATATCTGATTTGGGTAAAACTATTAATGAAATTCAGCACAACATAGTGCCTAATTGTACATTGGTGCCAGATGTGAATATTATTAGAGCGTAAATAGAATAAAAATCATTGTTTTATTTACCTATTTGTACATACATACCTATACTTATATCTATACAGAGTTCACCAAAAAAAAATTATGTTGTAAAAAAAAGAGGGATTTTTCCATGTGGTTTATCAATAATCTGTTTTTTTTTTTTTAATGATTCTTTTTGTATTTACTATTCTATTTTTTATTATAAATTATTTTTTTTAAGTTTTATAAATTTAGATATTTAGTGTATATTTTTTTGACTAAGACTCAGTAAATCACGAGTTTTTTGCACACTTGAAGGAATAACAGCACGTTTCTACTTATTTAAATTGTTTGTTTATGATTTTATACATTTAATGATGATAAATATTTATTTACACACTTACAATACTAATATTTATTAACTGAAGTAAACATTTTTTGTCATTTATTGTATTGTAAATATTAAATGTGCTACTATTATGATTCCAGTTTATTTTTTGATAATATCACAAATTGATTCACTGCGATTAATAAAGTGTACTTTATTCTGTAATAAAATAGCAGGCTTCCTTTGTTATTTTCCTCATTGAGAAAATCATATACTTGATGTATCGTATGTAATAATTACTTTAGAATACAATTATTACTATGAAATAATAATTGAATAACAATACAAACATTTTAGTTTTCATCTTTACATTTTTTTATAAAATTATATTTGTTTTAAGATCAAAAAGAAATTACAAAACATATATAAGTAAACAATTTTGATTAATTTACCCCAGAAAGTTTTTGTTTTAACGTAACTTGGTATACATTTTAAAGCTGAAATAAAGCAAGATAAGCTATATTTTTAAACCTTAATAATATTATAATTGCCACATTCAAATTTAATATACTATTATAATATGTCAAGGGAATGAACTAATTGAGCAAGATAATACCATGGTTTTTATTCATTATAGTTTTTCTTGGAATTTTATCTTTTATATTTAATTTAATAATGTTAATTTGAATTACATATAAAAACCAATAGTGTTATTATATTAAAATATTATTAATTAATTTTAAAATGAATAAAATAAAAATATAAATGAGTTTTCATTTGTATGAAATGATGTGTTATTTATCTTTTAAAAGCCCTGTTGCCTCAAGTATGCTATTACAGATTTCTTTGTTATTTACATCTTGCTATCTTTTTTTGTCCAATTGATTCAAATCTTTTTGTATGTGTATTTGCATTACAAGGAAAGAAGGAATTTTTTTAACATCTTGAACATTTTGTAGACTATTAAGAATATATAAACAAAAATATCATGATTAATTAATTAATATAAACATAATTAATAATTACAGCAAAAAGTCTTTTATTTGTTCTTCCATTTTTTTAAATTGTAGATTTTCTCTGTGTAGCATTAATATTTCACTAGGTAAATCATCAAGGGAATCCTGAAATAAATTTTATTTCAATACCAAGTATATTTAATATAACAAAATGAATAATGTCGAACAAATTTAGTTTAGGACCCAAGTTCGTTTTTAAATTTTTTTTTTAATGCTCAATGCATTGGTATAATTAAAATTTACGTAGCATAATTACTTTTGAAGTTATTTTATGTCATCGTCGCTTGTTTGGATTGTTTTAATCAAAAATAACTATTTGTTGTACAAAACCACGTTGGAAAAACTAAGCCAGACAGATTTATTCAGATTTCAATAAAAAAAAATGTAATCAAAATATCAATAAAGACAAATCATAATAATTAAAAAAAATGTCTACTTTCGACCAAATTTTGGATTAATTCCAAAAAATGTTATTTTTCAAGGTTTGTGTACAATAACTTCAAAAGTAGGTATGATAAGTATGATTTAATTACATAAATGGATTATGCATTAAAAAACACATTTAGAGAAAAAAAAAATTTTCACAATGAAATATGTGAAACACAAAACTCAATCTTTATGAAGTTTTCTCTCATAACTTCCAAACGAAGTTCAAATTGACTTTTTTTTTAGATTCTTAATGTATAAGCAAGAACACATTTTGAAAAAAAAATGAGCTTGGGCCTTAAATTAGATTTATATTTAAATAATAAATTATCTAATATCTTACAGTATCTTGAATTATATGCTTGCATGCATAACATAAGCTTTCCATAAACTCTTCTTTAGAAATTTGTTTATTTTTACAATTGCAACTTGAACATTTGTTTTCATTACATTCTTTATCATTAGTATCATTTAAACTAAGTTTTAAAGCTTTAATACCCATTAATGAAACATATTTTGAATACTTGGTAGCTTCCATTGCTGAAGAAGGCGGCACGTCAACATCCATTATGCCCTATGAAAATTAATTATTAATTTATGACGATATAATGATAATGATTAACATTGAACTATAATCATATACTTGACATAATAAACAATATGCTTTCGTTAATGTTTTTTGTGATATTTTTTCTCCAGTTCTAAATATTGTCGATACAGTAGATGGAAACTCAACTTGTAAATTATTGACAAATTGTTCAGTGGTTTTTTGTATTGAATCATCTTCACTAGTCTGAATTAAACAATTATTGTTTATGCTTAATTATAAATTGAAAAGAGAAGGTACAAGTATGTTACGTACAGCTGTTAAGAAATTTGAGCGTACAAAATCTTCTAACTTGTTGAACAAAACATAATATGAAATTTCTTTTGCTGACAAATCTCTTAACGGTCTTATGGTTACTAAAGATGTTTTGACATTATTTTTATCATTAACAACAAGTCCCTATAAATTGATTCAATTTTATGTTTAGTTATTTTGGATGGCAAATATTTAAAACCGTTTCTAAAACATGTACAAAGTTAATAATTTATAAACCAGTAATTATGAAAACCAAGAAGCTTTTTCAATGATTAAAGAGTTATAAATATTATTAAGTACTAAATTATATGCATAACGCTAATTTATAATAATAATAATAATAATAGTGAAACTTTTTTGATTTTTTTTATCAAACTAAAATATAGGTTAATTATATTTTAAGAATGTTTTGTAAATTATTTTAATTATATACTAATTTGAGTATGAAATAAAAATGAAAAATGGTTACATAATTTGTTTCAATTATTAATTGTTAGAAAGTATATCTTAAATATAATCATCAAATTGGTTCTAATAGTACATAGTTATCAATAAAATGCTTTGTACAAATTCAAGAAAATATCAGTGTATAATATGCTTTCTTACTATATCCAATAAAATTTGGGATCCACGTCCTAGGGCGACATTAGAAAGTAGTCTAATAGATAATTTATGTTCATTTTCTGCTGTTAATATTCGTGTACATTTCAGTAATTTGGCTAATTTTGTTATCGCATGCTTCCTTAAATATATAAACATTATTAACACAAAACTTGTATTATAAATATTATAAATGTAAATTACCGAAGTTTCATTAACATGTCTTCTTTTAATGTAAGGTCTGATATATTTTTAAAAATATTTTGTAGTTTATCTTTATGTGAATCAACAGCACTGTGTTGGTCCAAACAATTATCAGAATAAAGTGCTGCTGCTAATGATACTATATTGTAATTTAAACCATAGTTGTTGAAAACTTTCTGAATTTTATTTCGTTGATTTTGGGGATAATCGAATAAATCACTTTCTAAAGTATTACAATAAAAAAAAAAAATGAAATTATTTATTAGGTAAAGAATTTCAAATATTACCATCAATATATAATATTACAGGATCAAAAGTCAATTTCTTGAAAGTGCTTTGCTGCAGGCCTGTCCATACCAAATGCAATAAAGCAACTGAACATTGAGAACCGCTTACACATACCAGAACTCGTTCACCTCTGTTGACCAATTTTGATTTGCCAAGCGTTGCACGAAATTTATGTGTAACCATAGGCACAAAACATGATCTGAAATACACAAATTATATTCTTTTGGATTATTTTTGTTGATCTTTAATGAAATGATAAATTTCAACTCACTTGCAATATACATCTTTTTGACGTAAAACAACATCTCCAAATTTGACCAAACATTTACGGCATTTTAATTCTAATCTGCAAAAAGTAAAAGTTTTTATTTAATATATAAAAGGATTTGAAGTATCAATTAAATTAAATTAGGTAGTTTAACTTATTAAATTTGTAAAATATACTGTTATCCAATAAAAAAAATATTCAATTGTACAAACTTCAATGATTAGTGATTTTGTACTTTTTAATTTGAATATACAATTTATTTGATTTAAAAATTATTAATTTAAATCCAAAATAATTCAAAACTAGAATAAATCAATGTAATTCATTGTTTACATAGAATGTCTAAATATTATTTTAGGGCAATTCTTACGGTTCATTTGATTTATTCTCTTCAAAACCTTCGGCACCTCCATCGTTGATGCTACACATAATTAAAAATAAATAAATTTTAAAATTTTTTGAACATTAAATTTAAAATCTCATTAATTATTTATTTGTGCTTATCTTAATTTATATTATAAATTATAATATTTGGAGATTATCATCATATTTATTACGTGTAATCTATATAAGATACTGTAGAAAACAAAAAAAAAACAATTGTGATAGCAGTTATCTAACTCAGGGGTTAGTAAAGACGTGAGGCTCGGTGAACTTGTTGTACTGAGCCTATAAACTCAACAGCATACTACGATTGTATTTACTATGGTTTAAAGCTTTAATTTGAAAGTTTAAAATTTGTCAAGGTAAAAATAGATTTTTGTTTATGTATTTCTGACCCCTGAAAATAGGTATATTCATACCTATGAAAAAATAATATAAAGAACAAATGTTAGGAACGGTACAAACTACGAGTCCCTTAACAGTTATCGTTGTATGGTAACTCACATACGCACCATCGCGTATGCCCACATGCCGCATGGCACTGAAGTGTTAAAGTTACTAGGTTTTCTAAATTTTTAATTGTACTTTATTAGAACTACAACTTAACAAAAAAATGGACGATGAAAATATAAGTGACGACCAATCTACTGAAATAATGGACGTTGCAAATACAAGTGACAACCAACCCACTGAAAAAATGGATAGTACGACAGTTAATGAACAAATGACGGTCAATAATAAAGACTACAAAGAGTATGAAGATGAAATGGACACTTCTGACGAAGAGGTATATTGGTTACAATTTTTTGTTTCATTCAATTTTAAAATGATGTAATTTTGTTAAGGACATACGCAACACCGTAGGTAATATACCCATGAATTGGTATGATGAGTATTCACATATCGGTTATGATTGGGATGGTGCTAAAATCGTTAAGCCAGAAAGAGGTGATCAATTAGATAATTTTATGGAAAAAATGGAGAATCCTGATTTCTGGTATGAATTTATTATTGATCTGTTATTTTTTTAGTAGTTAGGTACATAATAAAAATTTAAATTTTTTAGGCGAACAGTTAGAGATTTACAAACTGGTCAAGATGTTGTTTTAAGCGATAAAGACGTAGAACTGATTCAACGAATAGAATCGAGTAAAATACCAGATTCGACCTACGAAGAATATGGGGTACATATTATTACCTAATTTCTTTATAATGTTTTATTTAGAAAATGTATAAGTTCTTGTTTATTTTTAGCCATGGATTGAATGGTTTACATCGGAAGTGATGGATATGCCCATTCGTAATGGTGCAGATCATAAACGGTCATTCATAGCCAGTAGATCAGAAGCTTCACGTGTAGAGCGTTATGCTAGATTAATACGTGCTGGTCTACTTAAAACTAGAGAACAAAAACGAAGGGAACGTGAAAAGAAACGACAACGTAGTTTCTTTATGATGTGGAGCACAGATGATGCTGAAGATGAAAATATGAGACGAATCACTGACCATATACCTGCACCTAAAAGAAATTTACCTTCTCATGCAGAATCTTATAATCCTCCTCCTGAGTTCTTGTTTAACGATCGAGAAGTAACTAATATTTATTTTTATTTATGATATGATATACATTAATAATGGTTATAATAATGGTAATAATTAATAATGGTTAATGTTATTATATTTTAGATGAGAATATGGAATAAACAAGAAGAAACTCCGTGGAAGCGAAAATTACATTATGTACCACAAAAGTATGATAGCTTAAGGCAAGTTCCGGCTTATCCGAAATTTATAAAAGAGAGATTTACGAGGTGTTTGGACTTGTATCTATGTCCCAGAGCCAGAAAAATGAGGGTAAGTATATTATCACATAGTTTATTGTTCAATATAGAATTAATTAAATTTAAAAATTATATTATAGTTGACTATTGAGCCGGAAGATCTACTACCTAAATTACCAAGTCCCAAAGATTTGCAACCGTTCCCTACGATTCAATCATTGGTATATAATGGACATACCGACATGGTCCGTTGTATATCTATCGATCCACTTGGTCAATATTTGTTGTCTGGATCTGATGACATGACAGTAAAAAGTAATATTTAATATATTTTATTGTTTAGTTATGTTCTACATAGTAAATATTTTTTTTTTTTTTTAAATATACAGCAAATATAAGTTTGTACATATTGTAATTTTAATTTTTAGTATGGGAAATTAGTACGGCTCGTTGTATGAAGACTATTCCAGTTGGTGGTATTGTACGTGGTGTTGAATGGAATCCAAACAAAGCATTGTCAATGATTGCAGTTATAGCTGATCGGAAATTATTGATCATAAATCCGGGTATCGGTGATCATTTAGTAGTTTCCAAGACAGATTCTATTCTTTCTACACCACCTATTCAAACATCTATAGGTTTGTTGTTTTGTATTCAAATTTTAAAAACTAATAGTGATTTTTTATTACATTTGTAATAATGATAAACATTAAATTTATTTTTAGTCAGTGATAAGATTAAAGCAATTGTTCAATGGGATGATCCAACCACTGAAGAATATGAAAATGGTATTCGTATTGTGTTGAATCATTTCAAAGAGTTAAAACAAGTAATTCATTTTTTTTTTATTTAATATGCTATTGACATTGTATAATTTTGTGTATAGGGGAAATTTCTTGAAAAAAAATAAAATAAAAATAAGTATCCAATCTTCATTCGGAAATTTATTAACTATCTAACACAATTATGTAAACACTTATTCCTATAAATAAAATCAGCCACAATTTATTTGATATTATTTTTATTCTGTAAACACCATGTTTATTATAAACTATTAATTTTATCTAATAAAAATATTATTTGGTATTTATTTGGTAGAAATACATTAAAACTAAACAACTTTGTGCATTATTTCGTTCTAATATTAAATTGTATGACGTGCCCACAAAATAAATTTAGGGAAGCTATCTAAATATTTGATAAGTTTAATTTCTATTTTCTATTAAATGGTTTATTTTTTTTAAACTTATTTCAGGTGACATGGCATGGTCGTGGAGATTATTGCGCTACTGTGATGCCTGATGGTGCTAATCGATCAGTACTCATTCATCAAATGTCTACTAGACGATCACAATTACCATTTGCTAAATCTAAAGGATTGGTTCAATCTGTTCTTTTCCATCCGATTAGGCCATTTTTGTTTGTTGCTGTAAAAATCAATTTTTATTATTAAGTACTATAGTATTGTAACTGTATTTAAAATATAAATAATTCGTTTATTTTCCAGACCCAAAAAAATATAAGAATTTATGATTTGGTAAAACAAGAACTATTTAAAAAATTAATGAGTTATGCAAAATGGATTTCATCTATGGCTATTCATCCAGGTATATTATTTTTTTCAATTCAAAGATTTTGTTTGCCATCTCAAGTTTATCATTATGACCGTATCACTAAAATTTTAAAAAAAAAAATCGTTAAAATAATTATTATATTTAATATAGAATATAAACGGTAAATTTTATTTTTGTAGGCTAGAATTTAATGTTTATATACAAACTTAACTTTTCAAAATGTTTAATATCATAGGTTTATACATTTTGAGGTATTGATAAAATATTTAAATTTCATTTTTTGTAGTTTTTGATTACTGAACAGTTGAGAGTTCTGGATTTGTTTGTGTTACTATTGTCCTTTTACTAAAAATTTAATTTAATTTAATTTATAAATTATAATTCTAGTTTTATATAATATTAAATTATTAGTAGTTTTATAGTATAAATAGTACTAATTTCATAAATATTTTGTTTAGTTGATATTTTAAAAACTATCATTGATATTTTTTAGGTGGTGATAATCTTATTGTTGGAACATATGACAGAAAAATGTTATGGTTTGATCTTGATCTTTCTACCAAACCCTATAAAACTCTTAGATTGCATTCAACTGCTATACGCTCAGTTGCTTTTCATAAACGTTATCCTTTATTTGCATCTGGTTCTGATGATCGAGCTTTAATAGTTTCCCACGGAATGGTTTATAAGTAAGTGTTTTTGTGTCAAAATAATTTTTATCTATTTACATTAATTTATTTTTTTGGTTTTTAGTGATTTGCTTCAAAATCCTTTGGTGGTTCCATTAAAAATGCTTAAAGAACATGAAGATTTAGCAGATTTTGGTATTTTTGGTGTGACATTCCATCCTACAGAACCATGGGTGTTTAGTTGTGGCGCAGATAAAACTATAAGGCTGTTTACGTGATTTATATCATATTAGTTCTATTAAATTTAAAATATAAGAGCGATTTTTATATTCAAATATACTTGATTATATTATATTATACAATTAAACAATCAATTATTAATATTTTATTTTATTTACATAAAGCACTAGTCAAAATTTAATTAATAACTAAATTAAAAGCGACAAGTATAATATTATTCAAAATTAATTGCTTCATTTTATGAAGTACGTAGTCTGTTGTGAAGGATAATGGTGAAAGTTAACTTGATTTGATAAATCATAATATGGTACTAGAAGTGGTTGATACTAAAAGTATTCACATGAATTTGTACATCTAATGTAATATGATAACTAACTATCTGAATCGTGAATAAATTGTAAGTGACATTTTTAAAATTGTTCAGGAAAACAAAAAATCATTTTAAAAATGTAATATTTGATAAATGTTGATAGCATTTTTTTAAAATGTATATTTTAAGTGCTTATAATAAATTATAAGTTAATTAATTTTAATTATAATAGTTATAATAAAAAAAAAGTTAAAAATTAAGCAATGTCGCTTACAATTTTAATAAATATTGTTATTATTTTGTATATTTGATAATTGGGGGGGGGACTCATACTACCCAACAATATTTTCTTTGGACTTGGTTTAATATGTAGATAACATAATTATTAGATATCACTGCTAATTATGGTTTTTACACTAATATTGTTGTTTATACCACTCGTCTATATCATTTATGATTATTATTATTCAGAAAAAACTTATGTCACAACCAAATTGCTTATGACTTTACGCTGTCAGTAATTTCAATACCTGTCATGTATGAAAATGACATTCATGGATAATTATTGACTATTGTACATTATTAATTTACAAACTTTATAACTTGAATAGTACTATAAAACATAGTCGTTGCCTATGTAAAATAAACTTTAGGATTGAACATATAAAAAAAAAATATATTTATTTGTGATAAATTGAACTTTGTACGTCATTAAAGTCAATAATTATTAATTGTTTTTACATTAGCTATAGTTGTATTTTGTACAAATTATACAAAATATACAGATATCTGTAACTATAAGGGACAAATATATGCAACTACTTAAGCTTACTCCAAAGTATAAAATGTAGACCATCTTCTGAAATGAAATTTTCTTGAGGTGATACTTATTGGGAAGGTAATTTTTCGATTTTCACAAGAATTTTCCAGCAAATTGGAAAATCTGCACAATATTAAACAAATATTATTTTTTTTTTTTTATTTATAGAATATTTACAATCTATGCTGCAAGGCATAATAGGCAAATATGAACATACATGTACAACCTGAACACATGAGGAGGGAGTCCTACAGTGATACAGTGATATACAGTGATAGAACTCAGCATAAATTTTTTTTTTGTTAATTTTTAACTTAAATTAAATTAAATGGTTTGATAGCCGTCAATTATTTAATAAGTCACGACACCATTTTCTCTTTAGACGACGTGGGGGATTGTTAGGAAGCGAGTTGGAAGCAAGTTCAGTGATTAGAGGGTTACAGTGAGACTGTAATTTAGAGTGAAATTTTTTATAATGTTTTGTAGCTAATTGACTTACTGTTTCTATTTTGAAGTCATTTTGAAATATGGAATTTGATACGTACCAAGGTGCAGAAGAGATAATGCGGAGAGTGATGGATTGGAAGGCTTGGAGGGTACGTAATTGAGAAGGTTTGGCACATCCGCAGATTTGGATTGTATATGCCCAAATAGGCCTTAATAAGGATTTGTAGATGATTACTTTTGTATGCAAGGGTAGTTTTGATTTCAGAATTGGGCGAAGCAAGTGTAGACGACTATTGAGAGTTTTTCTTTTTGATTTAATATGAGGACCCCAGGTCAATCTTTTGTCAAGTAAGACGCCGAGATATTTTACTTCTGAGGATATTGGGATTGGTATTCCTTGAAAATGGAAGGGAAGGGGTAAGGACTTTTTTAGTGTGAATGGGACGTAAGTTGATTTGTCAGGGTTAATCTTGATTTTCCAGTTGGATGAACAAATATTATTAAATAAAATATATAATGCCTATTTAATTATTTTACCATAATATGATATATATATATATATATATTGTTGATAGAGCATCACTATTAACTGAACTCCGCTCAGAATCGTTTTTTTGTTAGTAATGGTTTATCTTAGTTCATAGATATACATTAAATTCCCTTCTATATCTTAGCTTTCCAACTTCCCACCTACAAAAGTGACTGCCCATCTTCATTATCTTAAGACAGCATTTTTCGATTGTCCTTATTTATATAAATAATTAATTGGTGTAATCAATTGGGAAAAAAGGGAATATTTACGTCATAACAGTTTCAGTTATTTTCGATTTTGATTTTTGTCGTAATTCGGTTAATGGCAACCCTAGAGATCTAAAACTTTCTCCGAATACCTGCTGTTTATATTATGACCACTTTCTATAGTGTTATAATTTCCAAAACATTCTGGTGGCTTATGAGTTAATATAGCTATTTGAAATGTTTGGATTTTTAGTTTTTATTTGGTTTTATATAAAATCAAGAATCTGAAATACGTTTCATCATGAGTTGTTCTTAAGGTACTATATAAATAATGAAAACCTGTAGTCATGTTTTTTTTTTTTTTAGTGTTGGAAATTCAAAACTTAATGAAAAAAGTAAAAGTCATGAACTTTAAATTTATCAAATCATATTTAACAAAAATTCGCTAGTAATCGTTTTTCGTTAGTTGTGTTTTATTTTTTTTTTTTTGTCTAAATAAGTCAGAAATCTTACTTTAATCAAAAACTTTATAGAAACTTTCTTGTAGAATTTGTGATCTAATTAGTGAATTATGAAGGTCATTTTATAATTTTCCTTGAAGTTTTCTTAAAACATTGGAAGAATTAGTAATCTTAAAAAATCGTGTCATTTCAATAGGTATAAATTTAACTGAACTTCACTCAGAATCGTTTTTGTTGGCAATGGTTTATCGTTGCATACAGATATGAATTAAATTATGTTTTACATCCTTTCAACTTTTCTGCTAAAACAATCAGGCTTTTTACCATGCTTTATATTAATTTACTCGCGAAGAAGAAGTTTAAAAATTGTAATCGATTTTTGACCTCTTTTCCCGTGGTTAGATTAACTTAGATATTTTGTATGTCGTCGTATTTACGATAAAAATAAAATAATCAACCATCATTTTTCTGTTTTGGCTATTTTGACAGTTTTCAAAATTTCGAAAAAATGTCTCATGAAAGTTTTTTGTCGTTTATTTGTTTAAATAGTATCTATTTTCTTGCCCGTGAAAACTAGTTTAACTAATAATAATATTGTTTTATTTTCATCCGTGTCACGAAAGTAATGCAACCCATAGTCAACAAATATAATCCAATAATTTTCGAAATTTCGGGTTACAAGTGCATATAGTACGTACCCCGTACTCCCTCCGGAGCGGGTATTATATCACTGGAAACAGCGGAAACCATGGAAATCCATCGTTATATATCCCGGAAATAACGCTCGAATATCAAAAGTAGGTATGTATAGGTATCTAACTTATTTTTGGTATAGCATAAGTTTTTATTGGACTTATACAGCGGCGTTGAAATAATATAATCCGATATAAAATGCACATGGTGGACCACGTTCATGTTTTATCGTATTGTGTACCGTCGTTTTGCATCTTCACTCGTGTTGGTTTTATCATATTATGGTATTTTTCAATTTTTCCTGCAGCTATCTTAATAATTATCGACAAATTGGGAATAAACGTAAGAAAAACGTTTAGATTTTGTTTATTTTTTTTTTAATGTTATGCGGTTAAAATAAATAATCGTTCTGAAATGTCCACAGAATACTTATTAGCTTTTTCTCGTGATAAAATTTCTAAAACGTTTTGGGCAAGTTTTGAACTATTTATTGGACTATTTATTGAACTATTCGTACGTACCGATTTCATTTACGACGGACATATACTTGGGTAGGTAACTAGTAGGTACAATACGATTGCTTTTTACATCGTATTCTTGTTTAGTACACTGTTCAATATTGATGAGGTTTATAGGCGCAACTAGGGAGAGGGGGGGGGGTTCTTCAATTAGTACACCCAGTTCAAAAATGACAAACATTGCAAAATAGTGTGAAAAAAGCTGTCCTAGGATAATGGAGACGGGTGCAACCACTGTTATAGGTAATTTAATGTATAATTGTAATTGAAATCGGACTGGGGAGGTACTATACAGAGGTCATTTTTCGATTTTCTCAGGAGTTTTCTAATTAAATGGGAAAAAAACATCTGGAAACCGGAATAAACGTAGGAAAGTCGGTACAATATTGAACAAATATTTTTAAAGAAAAAAAAAAAAAGCCTAAAATGTCGAATCTCATCGAATGATTACAATAAAGATACGAATAAGACCCGTGTGCAATATTCCGCACCACCTTGGCTTTCGACAAACGCCAATGAAATATTATTACGAGTATTTGACGTTTTTCGAAAAGCGTATGAGGTTTTGCACCAGGTGCGTTTTTTTTATAGTGGTGTCCCCGAGTAGGCCTAATCCACTGTGTCGATTAACCTAACCTTACCTAAAATCCATAATATTACATTCTATAATATAATACGATCACCGAATCCTGATCCTCGTTCCTTGAAGTCATCCACAGCTACCAGCAGTCTTGGTTCGAAAAGTTCACGTGCAAATAAACCGGGGAGAAACCATAAAGGAAAAAAAAATTACGAAAAGATAGAAAAAAAAAAAAACACTACTTTTATACCGATGAAGAAAACATAATAAACTGATGAAAAAGTTTAAAGGAATGATTATAACACAATTTATAAAAATACAAATTTAAAAACGATAGTGAATAAAACAAATTTAATAAAACATGATTTACTATGACTCGATTAAATACGCGTATAATAAACAAAATTAATATTATTGTCAATATTATTAGCCAGTGCGTGGTTTTGCGGTATTTATTATCGTTCAAATAAATAAACAGTATTAATCAGTAACCATACTTATAATTTTTGTTATTTTGACGTATTTTGGTACTGATAAGTGATAGTAAGTTAAGGTACCTCAAATAACATCCGTATTCAATTTTATGATTTTACGATTGATAGATTTTCATAAAAACCTGAGCTTCAAACGTACATAAAAAAAACAAGACGGACATATTTTACATGTGGGTAAAGCTACTGTTGTAGATGGGAAGTTGGAAAGGTAGGAAACAGACGGGAGTTTAATGTATATCTGTAAGCAACAATAAACCATTGCTAACGAAAAGCGATTTTCAGCGGAGTTCAGTTGAAAGTGATACTTTGTCAACAATATTTATGTCATATTATAGTCAAATAATTAAATAGACATTGTACTCGTATTTTATTTAA